GGGGGGCGGGCGCCGGCGCCGCCGGGGAAACAGGCGGGCGGGGCTCCCTTCCCCTCCCCGAGCCCGAGACCCCGGGACTCGTTCCCTCCGGAAAGACCCGCCGCCCGGGGACAGCGTGCACGCGGCTGGAGACTACGCGGGGAGCCGGGTAACAGGTGTGGCCCCGCGGCGCGGGCGGGGGCTGCGCGGCCTCGGGGTCTGGGCTGGGACTGGCCGCATCCCGGGCGCCCGGCTCGGGTGACAGGAGGAACGCGGGTAGCGAGCACCCTCGCAGCCCCCTTTAGGCCTCCTTCAGCCCAGCCGCCCCCCAAACCAGGGCGCCGCCCTCCCGCTGGCGGTGGGCCGGACAGCACGCGCGCGGGCGAGGGTCTGGGCGCTGCTGGGCGCGGAGTGGGGGTGGGGGAGAAGGGGGCAGGGCTGGAGGGGACCGGAGGGGGAGGGGATGCCAAGTCATGGGCCTGCCGGGCGCGAGCGCGACGTCGCCCGCGCGGACTCGATGCGCGCCCTCGCCCTGGTCCCCAGGATCAGGGTCTTTCTCGAAGGCTGGGGACGCTTCGCCGGCAGCCATCCCTTCTGTGGGTTCCGCATTGCTGGGATTAAAGGGCTGCAGGGACATCGGATTGGGTCACGGGGCTGCGGAGAAGGAGGTGCGCAGCGCAAGTCCCTCCACGCGCAGGGCTGGTCCCGGCCCAACCCGGGGACAGCACGGTCACGCGGAGGCCTAGCGAGAGGTCCCCCCTGCGACGCCCGGAGCCTTAGGGCAGCCGGGGTCCGGGGCTGGCTGCACCTGCGGCGGCCATCTTGCAGGTGTGGCTGGCGTGGGGTGGCGGTGGTCGGATGCGGGCAGGTGTGGAGCGGGTCTCAGGTCTGCATTTGCTCTGCAGCAACACCATCTTTAGGGGTGTCCTGCTTTTGGTGGTTGGGGTAGAGGTCCAGGGCTCCTTGGACGGAGCGATGCTGAAGGTCACCCTCCCGGGTAGGTCCGGGCAGGGTGCACAAGAGCAGCTGCCTCCAGCTGCGGTGGATCCAGTGAAGGGCAGTCTGTCTCCTCCCAGGGGCCACAGGGCGGAGGGCCTGAGAGATGCCTGCCGCGAGTCCCCCTCCCCCGGGAACGCCTGTCCCTGCCCTGCCGGGCAGCCCATAGACAGTCCCACTTGGGGCCCCCAGGCTGTGTCTGCTCAGATCCTGAGCTGGGCGCCAGGGAGTCAGGCCAAGCCCTGGCCACTGAGCAGAGGGCCCCTCAGCGCGGCAGTGCCCCTCCTGTCTCCCGTCAACAACCCCGTCGTCGTCGTCGTCATCTGAGTCTCCAGAAGTAGGGCGGGGCGGGGCCGCTCCAGTGGGCAGGAGGCAAATGGAGCTTCGGGGCCTCAGGGGAAGGTCTTTGTGGGGAGCGGGGGTCTCCATCACACAGCCCCAGCCGGACCAGGCGACCTGGGCGTGGCAGCGGAGCAGGGCAGGTTGGGGAGGTCAGCACCACCCGGAGGTCAGCACCACCAGGTTGGGGTGTGCAGAGGCATTGCCAGCGTCCAGAACTACCCTGGCATTAGGCTTGAGGGGCCCAGGCCAGCCAAGCCCTGGGACCTGAGACTGTGCCACCCATGTAAGGGCAGGACAGGCCTGAGTGGCCACCTGAGTGGCGTGTGGCAGACCCCGCCCCTGAACCGCTAGAGCAGGGCAGGAGGAATGTGTGGGGGCTGGCAGTCTCCAGAAGTGCTCTGAGGAGCTGCTGCATTGAGTGCTCCCAGGCCGAGGGCAGCACCCACCACCCCGGTGGCAGGAGGGGCTCAGTGTGTCACCCTTACCCCCACTAGCCCTACCAGGAGCATGTCTGAGTACTACGATGGTGGTGGACCCCGCTGCCCACCGGTTGTCTGCTCATGGGCCCAGCCTGAGAAAGGAGAGCTTGGATGCCGGGGCCTATACCCTTAGGCTTTAGTGTCAGTGCCTGGGGCAGGGGTAGGAAGGGACGGGGGAATCCCAGCTAAACCCGATCCCACTGGCCTAAGGCCTGCTGGACCCTCATCTCCCAGTGCCCTGGTCCCCCAGTGCCTTGGTAGGCAAGAAAAGGTGGGGTAAACCTGGCCTGCCATCCTACAGATGGGAACACTGCAGGCACATCAAGGTCAGCGACTGAGGCTGAGTCTCCTGACCTCCCCCAGAGTCCCCCCAGCCCGCCACTCTGTGTGGGCCCAGCTCTCTGCAGGGATGCTGGAGAGTGACTGGGGTGAGGGAGTCAGGGAGGAGGGGCAGCTCCCCCTCTGGGAAGCCTCCTGCCTCTGGACTTCACTCCTGTGGGAAAACCATGTGGTCCTGGCACAGGCCTCCAGCCGAGCAGCCCCAGCTCAGATTTCAGGTCTCGCCCACCCAGGCCTCTTGTCCGGCCTCTCCCCCTCCCCCCCTTTGTCCCAGGTGGGGGCTGAGCAGAACGCCCATGTACACACACATTCTTGTACACAGCTGCACACACACCTCACTCATACACACAGAAGTCTGTGTGCCCCGAGCTGGTCCTTGCCCCTCCTCGGAACACTATCTACCCAACCCCCGTAGCAGCCTGCTGACCCTCACCCCTGACCTCGGTGCCTTTGCCAGGGAGCCTACTGGATGCTGCCCCACGAGGGCTCACCCATCTGCACTAGGTGTGGAGGAGGGACTGGAGGGAGACAGTGGACGTTTCTTGGGTGTACACTGCATCATGCCCTTGGTGTGCACCCATTATTTGATGCTCCCGGTGTTGCTGTATTTCAGACGGAGAGACTGAGGCTCCTGAGGAGCTGTGTGACTCCTGAGCCGGGACTGGGTTCTCTCCCTACTGCCTCCAACTCCAAAGATGTTGCTCTCCTGCCCCCGCCCACCGCACATGCCCCGTTCATCTGGTACAGCGGTGCCTGCGCAGTGGACTCTGGACACTGCTTCAGGGCTGGGCCAGTTTGAGTTAGGTATCGCTGTGCCAGCTGTGGCAGCCTAGAGCCTCTCGTTCCTGAGGCTGGCTGGGCAGGAGCTGCCCCTTGGTCTCACATGGTCTCCTCGTGGGGCAGGTGGCCTGCACTCAGTGGGAGGCAGGTGGGGCCCAGGGCGAGGGTCCGGACTCTGCCTACCTGGGCCCTGCCAGGAACCCCTGGAGGGCTGCAGCTGCCTTCCACAGGGTCGCCAGTTCCAGCCTGGATGGCGAGGGGAGGGCTGACGGGTGGGGCTGGGCAGTGGGCTGCTCGGCTGCTTTGTGTCTCTTGGTCCTCACTAGCCACCAGCTGCTGGGGCCAGTGCCACCATGGCTGCAGATGGAGGATAAGCAGCAGGCCAGGCCTGGCATGACAAGCCACGACCCCACGGTCTTTGAGCCAGCTCTGTGCCCCAGCAGGACTTACTCGGTGGTGCTTTCCTCTCCCCAGAGTTTGGCTGTCCTTTTTATATGGGATGGGCTTCTTTTGCCCTCACCTTCCCTGTATCTGCCCACCCGCTCCTTCCTGAGGTCCTTTCTCCAGCAGCTGCCTCTTTCTGTCCAGGCCTGGTGCTCTACGACTTCCTGCCTCCCTGTCCTGGCAGCCGCTCACCACAGCCCTGGCCTGGGGTCTGTTTCTTGGACCTCAGGGCTGCTTGTTTCCTGGGTTCCTGTCTTGTTTTGCTGGAGCACATCCTCGTGTGCCTCCTTGGAAAGGCTGGGTCGGGCGTGTGTGACAGCGTGGTGCGTGGTGCTCATGACGGGAGGGTGTGTCCAGCCCTCCTCTCAGGGAATCATTGTTTCAGCACTGGATCTCCATCAGCTTCTGCACCCAGCGGCTTGCAGGAGTCTTCGCCAGCAGCTCGCCTTTCTGGAACCTTCCTTTCCCCTGGGTTCTTCTCGTGTGTGGGGCTGCATCTCAGTGTAGATTTTTGCTTTCAGTGGTGCTCAGTGGGCATTGGTGAGATGGGTTCTTTTACCAGTTCATAATTCTCTTCCCTTTCATTTTTCTGGTTTTTTCCTCAAATTCTTGGACTGGGCTTCTGTGTTGCTGCCTTTTCCTTTGCACGTTCTGTTTTCTCGTCTGTGTTCTATGTTCTGGACATGTTAGGGCTTCATTTCTGCGTCTTTGCTTGGAATTGCTATTTTTTCTGTCTCTAACTCTCCACTGTCTTTGATCCTGACTTTCCCTCTGCGTAGCTCTCTGTTCCTGTTTAGGAGCTTGGTGTGGTCTGCAAGCGCTGGGCGTTCTGTCTGCCCTCTGAGCTGCTGTCGTGGTTTCTCACTTGCTGTGGGACCCGGGTTGCCATTTTGGCTGGTTTGCTCTGGCCTTCATTCTGCAGTGTCTGCTCTTCTAGGGCCCCGGGGGACCACAGGTGGAGGGGTGTTGTGCTGAGGCTGTTTTTCCTTGAGGGAGTTCTGGTGGGGTCCGAGTGTGGGACCCAGCCTCCTGACCCCAGGGTTTTCCTCTGTATCCATGGAGAGACCTTGCTGCCTGGGCTCCCGGCCACCCTGGCCTCTCTGAGGGTGGATGGTGGGATGGGCGAGGTTTCTGCTAACCCCAGTCCTTGGCTGGCCTGTTCTGGATCCCGTGGGTGCCCAAGGCTGGGCCTCTGCCACAACAGCGCCACAGCAGCTGAGGTCCTGGGGGCGCCCCTCCACGCCTCACCTTCCATGCAGGGAGTGATGCTGCGAGCTCTGCCCTTCATTTTGTGAGATGTCGGGGTGACCAATGAGCCCAGTGGCCACCTGCCGAGGGGACCCTCCTCACATTTTCTGGGGGCCTAGAGGTGCAGCCTGGCCTGGATTTGCCACCCTACACAAGAAGAACCTGCCCTGGTTTTTGTTTCTTTTTTTCTTCGGTCAGCTGTTGGGAGGCGCTGCTGAGGAAGCCCCCCGCCAGCGCACTGTTCCGCGCTGTGCGTGCACAGGAGGCCTCGATCTCACGGGAGGCTGGCAGGGCCTCAGGGTGAAGCCAGAGGCGGGAGCCCTGTGTGATTCCCTGCTGGGGGCGCTCTCCCTGGTGGGTGCGCCTCCGCTGGCCCTCTGGCTAGCATACCTGGAGCGTCCTCTGCCTCGGTCTTAGTGCTGCTTCTGTTGCTCTAGCACTGCACCTGAGGTGGGGTGACCTACACAGAGTAGAGATTTCTTTGGCTCGTCAGCCCTGGACTGGGTGCCCAAGGGCCTGGCGCCAGCGTCTTCATGGCTCTGAGGGCC